CGTTGCCATCATCACTTTGGCCTTGTTTTTCATGAAAAATATCTACTCGGAGAAAGTTAGAGTAGCTTCAAGGTACGCTATATTTTCTTAACAAACAAATCTATTCTTTCGCATAGACTCTATTACCGATATCATTTTACTATGAAACGTAGATTTGTGCCACAATGTAACCGTGTTTTACGCCAGTATAACATGCATTTCAATGTCAATGGTGGTGAAATAGTTTTTTACAAAAAAGTTCCAAAAAAGTTTCAAGAAGGTTTTGAGAGATATCGTCAGATGTATTATACAAAGAAGAATCAGAGGGCAAAAGAAAGAGAAGAAAAAGAAAAAATGGGAAAATGATGCGAAAGACTTATGAAGGAGGTGGTATCCGCTAGCGTTTTGTTTTTTTTCTTTGAAAAAAAAAAAAAAAAAAATTAATAATAATAATAATAAATGAATAATGGATGAATGAATTGTGACGGCAAACTAAAAAAAATTATCAATGGTCAAATCATTTAATGTTACGTCCTCCATTTGTATTCCGAAAGTTCTATTAGAAGTTCATATTATGTGGAATTGAACAAAAAAAATTGGGTCATATTATATATATATGCATTTGGGATAAACAAATATGAATGCTATTCTCGATTATTCATCGAAGGCAGCGTCCAAATCTTGGGATCGCCTAATTTGTTCATTGCGTTTTTGGTCCCGTTGATCTAATGTATATAAAGAGTAAATTAAATTACTAAATATACAAGTAAAAGTGAAACTAATTATAAAGATTTGTACCTCTAGCTGTTCTAAGGATTTGATTTTCTACTTGACGTTGCTCAGGAGATCTAGCAACGCGAACACCAAGAGCGCCATGAACGAGGCGCTTGGCGACCATATCGGTAGTTGCGGGACGAATACGTTGTGTAGAATTATTAGGATCTATAAATATTGCGTAAGCAATATGATAAAATTAAACTGCAAGAATATCTGTATCTAACGTACTTTTTTGAAGGAAATCCGTAGGGCCGTCATACGGTTTAATGGTGGCAAGTTGATTATTGACATTATCCACATATGCTTTACGTGCTAATAATTAAGATAACAAATAATTTTATATATTAAATTAATACTTCATATCTGAATTAGCATGTTAAGGTGAACAAACAATTACCGGTCGCAGGGTGTTCAAAGATAATTAAAGCACGAGTATCCTCCATCCATTTGATACGGTAGCCACCACGCATATTTTCGTATTCTTGAAAAATTTCATGAAGATGGTGCGTCTTGAAAGATGCAGGAAAATCAAAGATATCAAGAATACGAGTTGATCCTTCGTATGCATCTATGTAGATGTTAGTAGATGTTATAAGTCAATGCTAAAGGATTACTAATTGACTTAAGAATTTTAAATCATCAAGATGTACCTGGATCAAAATTAAAATCAATTTTGCTGCTTCTGCTCTTTTTGTGACCCTTTTTGAAGCCTGGTGGACGATTATCGGTCTTTTGACCTTCCTTCTGTCTAGTGCTCCAATCAAACGGATTTGAAGCGCCATCTACAGGACTGGCGACAGGACTAGAGACGTCATCCTTAGTTTTCACCTCTCCATTCGCAGCATTCTTTTCCCATTCTTCAACGGTTTGTTGTCCTTCTTGAGGGGATACCGATGTGTCATTAATTTGAATGGCGGGATTGCCATCATTTTCATTGTCACCAATATTAACATTTTCAAGCGAATTAGTAATTTTGGTGACGTCGTCGGAAGCATTGTTTTCACTACCGGATCCACCACTTTCAGAACCTTGTTGCCCGTTGCTATTTCGTCTGCTATCAGATTTTGACTTTTTCTTAGCATGACCTTTTGAAGGTTTTTCCCCTCCTTTGGGCGGATATTGTCGTAAAACTGTTGCATCAAAATCGCGACCTCTTGGAGTACGAGAGTTTTGTTGGTCTTGTTGAGTATCACTACCAGGACCACGAAATTTGCCTCGACCTTTTCTAATGATTCCATTGTCTTGATTCTCAGAAGTGTCATTAATGTTATTATTAGCAGACTCTCCAACCGGAGATAACTCTTCACCAGTTGAGCCACGTCTTTGTTTAGGAACATAAATTTCGCTTCCGGGTTTTCTACCAAATATAAATATATTAATCATCTCAAGTTTTTAAGTTATAGCATCATTTAGCAATTTACAAAGGTATAATAGTTATAAATACTTACCTAGCCTTGTCGGTCCTCGCTGGACTTGTCTCTGGAGTAGCAGTCGTAGAGCCCATTGTGAATCGAATGAGTAGAAATTAAAGAAAGTCTACCTGTTGGATGGTGGAGGGATTTTGAATCTATTTTTCTGGTGAACTTTTGGTAGGTTTCGACCAAGAAAGCCGTTAAGAAAACTTTGAATAGAAAAATGGTGTACAAATACTGTGTCTTCCTGGTCACTCGCATAGTGGTGACGTTTCCCATTCTTTTGCGTATCCATTGTTTGCAATTCAATTGTCAAAGCATTACAAAACCCTACCTAATCGGTTTATTGATTTGCAATTCAGTCTTATCACCATTTTTTAGTTCTTTTGTCACCTCATTCAGGGTCTTAGTTTTACGCCAAATATTCTTGAGATGCACGATTTAGTATCACCTACTGCAGAAGTGTTTAATGTTTATTTTGGTCATCTAATGCGAATCAAACTCAATTTTGTCAACGGACGTTTTACTGTGGAACAATAAAACAATGACTGCGGAATTAAATGACCTTATGCTAAATTCGGCGAAAAATAGCGACCCTGTCTTTATATAGACAAACATGCAGATTTTGAGAAGCTTTGAAATCATTAATGAACTTCACCATCAAGCGAATTGCTTGATATAATGAATATCTGATTGATGCATAATAGTGTCGACTCCTAACATGTTTTTTTTTTTCCTTTAAAATAATCAGTGTATGATTATAGCAATATCATTTTTCGTTACGTATGATTTTTATTTATCACTTTTTGTTATACCTCTCATTATACGTATATAATTTATGATTTTTATAAGCAAAGCTGCTCATGGTTCATATACATGGGCACGTGACTTGGCGTCACGTACCGTAATATTTTAGTAAATCACGAATCTTATACAAAAATTCAAATGTTACATTGTATGCTAATGAGATATATAATGATAAGTCGCGCATAATTGACGTACCTTAAGATTTTTTCGCTTCTAGATTCCCAAGTAGTTAGGTTTACGCTTCAAAAATAAATTAACATAATGAAGAAATATTGCGTTACCTTATTTTTCTTTGCATCAATACGAGCTTGAATGTTTGCAGTCATTTTTTGTTGCTGTTCAGCTTGAGTCTTGGCAATCGCTTAATTCGTTCTTTCCTGAATAAAGTATTAATATAGATGAACGTCGAGTCCTTTGCAAAAAAAAAAAAATTTTAAGCAATTAAAACTCGCACCATGCCTTTTCACTACTTTTCTTTAATAATTTGGGGTCATCTTTAATTTTTTCGGCTCGTGCCTTTTGTAGAGCTTTAGACCATGCCTCATTTTCACGAAACTTTGCAGCCTAATCGACTAATAAATATTATTTAAATTTCAAAAACATTGTCATTTTCAAATTATTTACCTTTTCTGGATCTTCTTTTTTCAATTTCTCGAACTTTCTGCTTTACTTTTTAACTAACATAGAATTTAGATTTAATCATCATTTAAAAACCAAGTTAATGAATGAATAGGATCAATACATTACTTTATTCATCAATTACACGTTATCTAGCTTTTTCTTTTTTTTTTATTATCATCAAATTCAAATTTGGTATACTGAATGCTATTACCATCTGGTAAACCTTGCGTAGAATCATCCTTAACATCTAAAGAATTACTCTCTGAACTAATGTTTTTTTTTTTTTTTGCTTTCTACCTTCTTTTCCTTTTTCTGAGAATTTTGTTTCGATTCTTTCTCTTACGATTACTTTTGGTTGAGTTTGGACCTGGTGTATGTTTTGCAAGACGTTCAGAAATCGATAAATGCACCGGGGAATTAGATGCATGTTCCACAGATTTAATTTTCTGAAGCGGTGATGACGCATCTAAATAAAATTTGAATATCATATCAGCAAACAAATTTTAGCAATCACTATTTTGAACCGATTTACCGTGTCCCGAAAGTCCGAAACTTAATTATCGCGTCGCGTGATGTCGGTTAAAACTCCGCTTATGATTAGATAGGCGGGTTTGAACCGACATCACCCGACGCGATAATTAAGTTTCAGAATTTGATTCTTGATTTGCTGTCAGATTTTGACTCGTCACATTCCTCGCCCAATGCGTTGACTTTAATTCACCATTTTTCTTAACTGATTTACCATCATCTAACTTTTACCTTCCTTAATTTTCTCTTTACTTTCGTTTAGCCTTTCTTGCTGAATGTCAGTTACAGTCTTTAAGGCTGCCGGTAAAAAACGAGGAACTACCTAAGTAATTCGGAATGCTATAATTGAATATATTCTTAGAACCTTTGATCTTTTGTCTATTTTCTTTTGCTCCTTGAGTGCTTTGGAAAATTTTTTCTTTTATGATGTCGAGATTGTTTGTCATCATCTGAAATGCTAGGCTAAGTTTTATTAATTTGATTACGATTTGATTGCTAATAAAATATAGCAACTTTTAATGTTTAGAAGGTATTAAGCTTATGATAGAATCTATGAACTCGCTATGATCTTTTATTCTGTCTTGAAATTATAAACATCCAAAGTAAGAATTCAATATAAATTGCACGAACAACGAAAAACTTATTAATTCAGTCCATAAAGTCTCCATTTTAGTAAAGAAATTTTTTTTTGCAAAAGATCTAACCGTTATATCATTAAGAGTAGGTGAGCGGTGTGGATCACGTGATATATGGCCAATCAAATATCTTCCCCAGTATCGCTACAGGAATTATCCAAGAGATGATCGTAATTTGGTGTAACGTAACACGATAATATTAGAAACATTTGCTTGTTTCCCTTCTGCGCTCTAACAAAAAAATTTCCTTGAGCAATTTTATACTTACCACTAAATTCTAACCCTAACCCTAATTCTACATAAATAAACTTTAAAAAATGTTATGCATATCACGTGAACGTGAAAATTTTGGTGGCGATACAGCGGAAAATCTATGGACACATACCGATCACTTGATATTTTATCTTATGGACACGTACCAAACATATCGGCCGATTTTTGAAATTTATAAGTAGAGTATATTTTTTAAAAACTTCAAAGCTAAATAACTTCTGATCTAC